AAAGAGTTTCTTGTTCTTTTCAAGTAGAATTACACATTTTATGGAAAGGAGACTAGCAAATCCTTCCAGAACAGTTAGTAAACTTTTCCTTCTAAGGAAGGCATCTTGTTTTCATTCACAGTTCTGTGTAGTCACGCATTTGGTCATATGTTGCTAGACAGCTGCTAACGAACATAGATTTGACAACTTAGATACTTTACTGTCCTCTGCTCTGGCTACTCCAGGGTCCTTTGTAGCTCCGGCCCAGAATATTTTTTTTCTGTGCCTTGGAACTGCGAGCTATTTTTTTTCTTCTTCAGGAGGTCAAGGCAGAGCACTCTGGTTGGTTAAGATGCAATTCTGGCAGGATCAGTTAGGACTCAAGGCAGGCAGACCAGAGGACAAAAGTGTTGTTGCACTACTTATAGAAGGTCCAGATAATTAATGATACGCAGTCCAAAAGCCTGGGAATATTTTAACACTATAAGGAGACACTAGCAAGTCTTTGTTCCTGCATGAGAACTGCTGTATGCATATTCAGTTTGTCTTGAACTAGTAATGAGAAAATCCTTTGTTGATATAAACCTGATTAATTCAGTAGACTTTCTTTCAGCAGTTAACTTAATCCATTGGGAATTGGTGGCCCTATTGTTACAGAAATTTCCCTATCAGGAAGCCTTGCTGTCATACGTCCACCCTCCTGTTCCTTCTACAAGGCCTTTACTCTCATATTACATCTGGGTTCAGTTGTTGGTGCAGTGCTACATCCCTGGTTGGAAAGGGCATGTTTGGATGGATACAGAAGGTTGGCTAGTGATGAATGTTTATATGCCTAGGACTGGAAGTGACTTTGGTGTTAAAGTAGGTGATGAGGGTGAGGCTCTGGGGAAAAGGGAATGAAATCCCCAAATTCGTGGGTTCTTTTTCTGCTACCAACTTAGGAGTTATAGCTATGGCCCTGTACTTCAGCACTGGCCAATGATTATGGCTTATCTGATGGTTAAATAAATTTGCATCCTGCTTTTTATGGCGTACTTCTTGTACTGGTGTCATTGTTTGTCTGACGCTGGAGTGAAATAATCACAGATAGAAACTGGAAAGATCCTTGTGCATTCAATAACCTAGCAATTAAATGACTGTAATTTTTTTATTTTTCAGAGACATAAACATAAATTAGATATCAGGTTTTCATATGAGATTCCTCTGCTTAGTGACTATAGAATTATACTAGCTTATTACTTAGAATAGCAAGGGCAAGATTACATTGTTAATTCCTTCAACAAAAATCTCACAGCTTAGGCCATACGTTTCTCAGGCAGTTCACACATCTTATTTTGTTTCTTCTCTTTTCAGCACTCTGTCACAGGTCAACCAACATTCTTCCACACTCCCAGATTTTCTAATGTCAGTGTTTCCCATGATCAGTAATAGGAGCCACATAAAAGAACAGCACAGGACACTTTTTCAAGGGATGGTGTTGGTGAGCAATATCTTAATTCAAAACCATACATTCAAATCTAGAAAAATTCAGATTGGCAATACTTAAGGTTTGTACCAGGTAATGTGTTAAGGATAAGTAAGTATGTCAAATAATACACAAATGTTAAAGCAAAAGTAAAATGACAACTCGCTCTGTAAATGAAGGTAATTAATTGCCAGTAAGGAGCTGTGAGGTGGTTCTAGTATGCTGCTTGTTGACCAGCAAAAGTTGAATCACCTGGTTTATATAACTGTCATGATAGTTGTGTCCACCGTACGTTAAAGCTGCATTTCATAGACAAAAATGTCACATTGGATATTACTTCCAGTAAAGTTTGTGCTATCTATTGATCTAATTGCTTCTGACAGTCTAACCATTGTACTCAAGGTCTTTCAAGAAAATTTACTGCACCAAAAGCAATGCAACCAATTCAGGAGTTGTGGATACCATAAGCAGAGAATTTACTGGGAAGATAATTATTTTGTGAAGCAACTGGTTTTTGAAGAACCCTTCCCTAGCCAGTGCTCCCAACTAAAATAGGCTGCTGGTTACCTGCCCTATGTTATGCTCTGTTTCCCCAGAAAAGCTACAGAAAGACTCACCTTTTTTTTTTTTTTTACATGCAGACTGATTATTTACCTGAAGAAATGTCCAAAATTTCTAAGTATGTGCCAACCTGTTGTGCCTCTTCTTCTCTGCATCAGTGACATTGAATAGGGCTGAAGGGATTTGGACCATGGCCCCAGTATACACTTCCTAACCTATAGGGGCTATGCTGTAGCAGCAACCTGGATATCATAGAATCATACAGCAGTTCAGGCTGGAAGGGACATCAGAGGGTTTCTAGTCTGACCTCCTGCTCAAAGCAGGGTCAGCTATGAGGTCAGACCAGGTTCTTCAGGGCTTCACGCAGTCAGGTCTTGAATACCTCCAAGGATGGAGTGTAAAAAATGACAAGTTTTCATGTGGTGCACAGGACTGTTACATTGCTAGGTTCTTCCATCCTTATTCAGGGATAGCCTAAGATCCAGTGTACTCCCAGAGGTAAAATACAACAGTGAAGTGTTGGAAATATCACTAACCTCTGGGCAAAGGCAAACCTTTTTTGATGATTTTAATTACATGTATGATAGTACATGATGAGACCCACCAAGGAATAGCCAATAGCCTGGTAGTGAAAGTACATATTTGGTTTTGAGATACAAAATTTCAAATCCCAGGTCTAAATCAGCAAAACAAGGAACCTCCATGCTGTGGTGGTGCAGCCCCCTGGGCCATGCTGAGACCCCAGGATAAGCCCTATTGTGCTGTTATCTTGGTCACAAATGCAGTGACATGGCGTCAGGCAGTCTCTGTTCGCACCTGGGCCACCTGCTGCCTGAATGGTACATCAGGACCACCCCAAGATCTCAGGATAAGCCCTACTGTGCTGTTATCTTGGTCATAAGTGCCGCCACTTGGGTGTCAGACACTCTCTGTCCACACCTGGGCCACCTGCTGCCTGTATTGCGTACCTGAACGACTCAGCACAAATTGTGGCCAGAATGTAAAATACTGACCAAAGTCAATCACCTCGAGATGCTATAAATAGCAATCCAAACGGGAGACCTTTTGAGGCTTTCCGGGACCACAGCGGGCTGTGTGACCCAGTATCTGTCCCTAAGCTGGGACACCTCTCAGGGTAGATTTTGTGAGGATTGAAGGATTGTCCATTGACGATTTCACGAGGACTCAAAGGCCTGATTTTGCTAGGTTCGCCAACTGTCTGTTGATGAATGCCAGCACATAAAACTGAGTAATTCATGAAACTCACGAAAAGGGAAATTTTAATCACAGGTTAACCTTGGGGTGGGGTGGGGGGTGTGCAATTTGACTCAGAATTGTTTGTCTGTCTGTGTGTACGTGGTTTGATTTAGAGCTGTTTGTCGGTCTGTCTGTGTGTGATTTGATTTAAACCCCATCTGTGTGTGCAACCATGCTGCAAGTTTCAGGTGACCCTTGCCATTCTCAAATCTTTAACTAAGTTGCTATTTTGATTGTAACAAATTCCATTGAATTGCTGTTTTAAATTGGCTGATGCTTAAGTGCTCTTAAGAATTATACAACCTAATTCTGTGATCTATCTCGAAAATATTAATAAATCTTAAATTGCTGCTAAACCAAAGCCGTGTAGAAAAAAACATATTCGCAACACATGCCTGTCTTCCACTTCTGCAATGAGTTTCTTAATCATGACTATAAATTACCATAGTGTGACCAAGTCAGTCTCACAAATTTTTAAGGAAAGAAGTCCAAAATATTTGGGGTTTTATTGCTTCCAGGCCACAGGTTTGAAACTTCAAACACCCATGGGATAGAAAAAACACTTCCTTCCTCTTCTCTAAATCTACTTGTTATCCAGAGAACTATCCAACTGCACTTTGAAAATTTCAAACTTTTAGTTTCCTGGTACAACTTAATTCCACTATTACATTCAATAGTTTTATTGCTGATTCTAAGAAAGAATTTTCCACATTCAAAAAGTTCCCGTACTCAAGAAGTTGCACCGCTGCCTCTGATTTTTGGCTTGTAATTCCCATTTCCTGATTAGAGTGCAAAGAGGAAAAACTGAACTTAATCTTAGTTCTCACAGTCCTTGAGGGAAAAATATTTCTAGGTCAGGCTCACGGGGAAATTGCAGACCAAAGCACTATCCTTTCTACACCTACATTTATAGCAGGGCTAGATCCCGAGGGAATATTTACTGCAGCACTTAATAGGTTTATCAAAGGTAGGACTTCAGCTGCATAAGCTGCAAGACCCTTCAGGGATGGGAAGATGATTGTTTTTACACTGATGGTCTTTGCCAGGGTGCTTATGACTGCTTTGCAACTGCTTTGCACAGGCACTGTTGGTGTAAAATAGTCTTTGGCTACCTATGAATCAGTCCCCTACTCTCAGCAAAGACTGAAGGATTTTCTTCAATGTCCTTAAATGGGATGAGTACATGTCAAACCATGGGAAGAAATCGGCTTTGAGTTAATTCTAAGTGGCTTTTCGAGCAAGAAGGCACAGGAACTGTAAAGACAATTTAAAATTCTTGTTCTTTTTACTTTACTTTTTGGCTTGTATTACTCAGCTTTTTTTCTCTGCGGCTGCAACGTGCTTTACATAAAAAAGAAATCTTGTTAGACAGAGGCTTCAGGTATTCCGAAGTGAGTATGACTTAGCTTTGGCTATATAACAGCAACTGCCCTGGTAAGAAAGCCACAGAGCAGGGCAGGGTGAGAAATGAATGATTTAATATATTTTTTTAGGAAAATTTTAATATGAGAAAAAATGCCAGTTCCATGTTCATTCATTTTTACTCTGCAAGATGTGCTTTCTGATGTAGCAGAGAAACTACATGACTGTCCCTTTAAAAGCCATCATACCAATCAGCAGGTTTAACTGTCAAGCAAGCTGATGTAGGGCTCTTTGAATTACTGAGTGAGGGATATTCTTCCTGCCAGGTCCTGTCCCCTGTAGGCACTGCAGAGAAGTATTATAGGGCAGTCCTTACCTTGGGAATTAGCCTGCAAGACCCCAATGCTGTCATCAAACTGCATAGATTTGATGTTGAGTGACGCCAAGATGCATTCCTTGTCCTGCAGCGAAGCATCATCAATATTATTCTGATTGGCTGACAGGATAACGCACATGTCGCAGAGGTTGATGTTGACAGCCCTTAAATCAGCCCGACTTAATGGCGTACCCTTCGGCACAGAGAAAAAAAAAGGGGGGAGGGGGGGCAGGAGGGGCAGGAGAGGAAAAAAAAGAGAAACAAATTAAAGATTGAGAAGGAGCTTTGGGAAATTATTTAACAAGTATCTTTTTTATACTCTGACATTAAGCTGGTCTAACTATGTGCCAGGGAATAGGAGATGTGTGCTAATCTAAAGGGTAGTTGGTGCTGATGGCAGCATTTTAGGTTCAGTCTCAATACTCAGTCAAGCTATTACTAACAAACAAGAAACAGGAATAATGCCAGCATTCTACATCTCATCGGTGACTTGAAATTGTCTTGATTTAAGTTGCTATAATGTGGCAACCTCTGGCTCTCTAAATATAACAAGGGGTGTGTTTTAAATGTCTATTTATCTACTACCAAGTCACAATGGTCTTGGGCAAAAGAATAGCAATTTAAACAGGAAAGAATTATGTCCCCTACACATTTGAAATGCAATCAGGACAAAGCTATTTTTTTTCTACCTGAAGCAATACACAAAAAAGGTTAATCCTTTTCATTGCATGTTTTTGGTGCTTCTAGAAGCAAAACACACCGATCTTCAAAGTTGTGTGATTAAACCATTTGAAACAGAAACAAGACTTCATCTTAATGGACACAATTCATGCAACATTCCCTGCTTCCACAATTCTCAGAGAATGCAATAATTAAAATGAAATGTTGCGGTAGTCTGTGGGTTTTTTTTATAGTTAACACAAACAAGACACGACACTTAACCCATTATGTTTAGTTTAACGATAACACTTGCCTTTCACATCCAACAGTCCACATCTCTAGTTACAGAATATTAAATCTATGTCACAGGGGCTGCAACGTCCAGGAAAAAAAAAAGATTTTTTTACGGAAACTAGATTCTGCTCTGCTGCCTCACATGGTTTGGTACCCAAAGACCCTAATGATGATGAGGAGACTAAGCTGTCCCCTTGTCACACAGTGACTTTCATAAACCTGAGTCAAGACCCTACTCTTCCATCTCCTGATCGCTCATGGTGAACGTCTCCTGAACTCCACTGAGCATATTCAATGCAAAAGTGAATTTAAAATGCACAAAGTGAAGGCAGAGCTCAATTATTATTCAGTGGTTGCCACCTAGTTTCAGATACCAGCCTCACTATTCCACGTTACTTTCAATAATTTGAGGCATGAAACCTTGTGGAAAACAGTATATATCGAGCAGATATGATTTAGTTATAAAGTACTCATAAGTTAGGATATGATTATTCCTGCCACCTTAATTGTGCCCTTTGTGTCTGTACTGAGCACCAAGTGAAGCAGGATTCCTGTGGGGAAAAATAATATGCAATCATGTAATTAATTAAAGGCTTACTCCTAATGATTTTATGCAAAGGGACAGAATTAAGGCTGCCCAAGGATATTTAAAATTGGCATTTGCCTACTTTTTAAGAGTTTACTCAGCAGCTTAAATGCCTCTTTTAATACAGACTTTAAGTGAAATCTCCACTTTTTTTAAAAACCAGAACAAATGTTTTCATATTCAGCTGTAACTACATCCCCATCAGATATCAGCAGCAAGTTGTACCTCATGAACCAAAGCACAGAGAAGTAGGAAATGCGTTTGAGTAGCCTCCCTTTAACACATGAATCCTACCAGTATGATCTCAGAAACTTTAGTAAACTTTTAAATGAGTATAATTAGATCAGAATAATGCTGATGTGTGGTCTTCAACACCCTTGATTACTGTGTAAGATACAATTCCTTTACATATTCTGTATTTGTAAAGGTGCATTAACTAACTATTTAAGCTGTTTAACTTGAAATTAGTCCAAAACTACTCTAAATTTGGATGCAAAGTGATTGGGGAATGTAAAGGTGGTGTACATTTTCTTAATGCCTCTTCAGAATTCAGAATTGAAACTTTACAAATACACATTAGAATAATGGATACACATTATATACCGTATAGTTTGGAAGTAGTAGCTGGATTCTATTCTGCTTCACAGCTCCACAGTATTATTACTTTAATTCTGATTCCTCAGTCTTTAGCCTTCACAGTGACTGGAATTAAAAGGGACTGGCAGGAAGAGGAGGATATTAACTGACCAAATCTGATATTGACACCATTTTTGTGACAGCAGAGAATCTTGTGACACCATCTGTTGGATCAGTTTACAGAAAAAAGCCAAGGGCTAACACTAAAACTGCATTTACAGTAACAAAGACCTACAGCCTGAATTAATCAGAAGTGAAGGCAGTCTTTCCATTCTATAGTTATTTTCCCAATTATTCACTTTAGGTTACATCCATCATTGATTTATTTATTTTTAACTGCCGAAATGTAATTATTAAGAACTGGTAAATTCATAATTTTTCATTCTGATAAAAACATACAAACTAACTTTACTCTATAACGTACAGAGCATTCTCTTTCGTACTTACACTGTGGGCTTGTTTCCCTCCTGCCTACATCTTTGTGGGTCATTTATAGCTATGACCACCTAAGATCACTAGCCTAGAGGGCTTCATTTGTTTGTCCTGGAGCTCATGGTTCTCCGTTTTGGGCGCATGAGTGAATGATAATGATATATAGGAGAAAAAGGACCTCTGAATCGTGGTTTTAGTGGTTGTCCCTACCAAAAACAATAGGACCTTTTAATCGATTTCAAAAGGGTCAGGGTTTTGCCATACTTCCACACATGAGTATGGCAGGACTCTGAATGGAAATGCTATGGCAATGTTCCTTATAAAGTAAGCCAGCCTACAGGAAGTTTTTATTAATATAGATAGATATTATGTACATAGAGTAACAATATTTTTTCCAAAGTTTTTGTGCATATAAATACATAAATAATGTCATAAATAACTACTATCATTCTGTCAGGGAAATCACAACATCAGAACTGGCTACATGCAGTGCACTACAGTGAATGTTCGATATATAACACAGCTAATACATTTGATGGCAGCTGAAATTCATCCGACGAGGATGACGAGGAACTGAACACTGCGGCAAATATCTTCTAATAAGGTCTCACAGGGCTCTGTTTTCATAGACACAGTAAAGGGAAAAATCTAAGTCCTCAGGCCTATAAGTAGACAAAAGTAAAAAAGCCTAAGATCAAAGTCAATATGAATCTGTCCAGTTGGTGTCCTAAATAACAAAGTATCAATAATATGGCTTTGGACTTACAGGCAAGATTGAAACCTTGGGGAAGTTATGCAGTGTCTCCCATTCCCTTCTCAGGTATTCAAGTGAACCCACGAACACAATGTGCTTGAGTTCATGGTAGTGAAAGTTGCTGGCTCGTAATGGCATCACTAAATTTCTTAATCCAATCAAAGCAGATTTAACATCCCCAAATATGCAAACGACTACATGCCCACTTAAAACTGTCATCGCTGCTTCACTTCGAGTCTAAAAAAAAAAAACAAAACAAAAAGACAAAGGAGAAATCAAACAAAGGGAAGCTTAAATCATATATTGAGTTTTAAACCAGGAAAAACACAACTGTCAATATTGTTCATGCACAAAGAAGCGGTTTGATAGTAGCTGTTCATTTTACCCTTGTTTATCCTTCATTAAACATGTTGAGCAGAAGAAAATTTCGTTCTTGTTTGCAAATCCTTCAGTGTTTGGGAAGATGTTGTACTGGACCGCATTCTGGTCCCATATATGTTTCTACACATGTGGATTAAGACTCTGGTTACAAAGCACTATGAGTTTAGCTAAGAACAGAATTTGACCTACTATGCATTTAGCCATTAGAAGGGTTATAGAAAAGAGATACAAACCCATGCCTTAGCTGATGAATCACTAGTGGGTTTTTTCAGGACCAATGTGAAAAGGAAAATGTGAGTGCCCAATGATCTTAGTAGGGCTTTTCGGTAGTACACATATCTTGTGGATTGACCGTATTCTCTTAGAGTCAAAGTTCTTATTTTAGGACAAGCTGCTACTACCCTGAGAAGCAATCAAAGAACGCTCTACCCTGTTCTGCTTTACCGTGGATGCCCACCATACTCCACAGAGCTTCTCTCAGCAAGAAAAAACTAGTGTGCAAGATCGTGACTAGTACTAACTTTTCAGGCCCACTGGATCTCCTGGGTTGTTGAATAGATAGAAGGAAAAGTCTCATGGAGAACATTTGAATGATGTTCAGAATTATCTTCTTGTCTCAGTGACAAGAATAAATTTTTGCACTAATTTAATCAGTGGTAATGTCAGTTGAGCAGGCAACTCAAACACCAAGATGATTAAAGTCAGCCATTAGGAAAAAAATGACCTTCATTTCTGGAGCCGGTCTTTAGCATTACTGCACTCCATCAAGTAGCTGTGGATCCACTGAATCATATTGCGAAGAAGTTGTACACTCAGTACCATTACATAGAAGTTTTGCCAATGAATAAAACTAAGACAATGGTGAACTGCAAAATTTTCCCCTCACTTACCCAGACTATACGTCCTTTTTCTATATTATGGAAGCATGACAATGTGCAATACAGATTGGAATATGCAGCAGAGGTGTTCACTATGTAAGAAGCATGGGAACTCTAATTAGAACTTTTCTCGTTAGTTAAAAAATACACGAGCTTTCAATTTCTCTGGGGAAATTACACTGATTTTCATACAACTCTACCAAGGGGGTGGTCTTGGCCCTTCAAACAACAGAAGACATGAGCAAATGCTCAAGTGAAGCATGTAAAGTTGTCCCATGCCTCTGCCCATGGTTCTCGAATACTCAGACTTTACAAGACAGAGACAAAGTCTTGAAAGAAATTATTTTAAAAATGTCACTCTATAGTCATTGATCTGTATGTAGCCACTTACATTTGACTGTATGTCAAAACCAGTCCTTATTACCTGATACTGCTGGAACCTCGCAGAGCCAAAACAGACCTTGGGCAGAAAAATCAATCCTTTTCTGATTGAGGCATCATCAAGTATCAATTAGAAGACAACGTGGGAAATCTTCAAATTACATACTAATTTGTACTTGTGTTGTCTCTAAGGACAGTGTTAAATTTGCATGGATATGAATGCAGACATAAATTGCAGACTGTGAGTCTGAAAAGGTGCAGGGAAGCAGGTTTCTGGCAGTGTCTTTATTGGTGATGATGCATGAAGCAGAAAGAACCTGGCCAGACTTACAGATTCGCAGGCTAGTAGGGGGAAAAACTGACATGGCATCACCAAGAGATGATAAATGAGGCACTCCACAGTGCCATTTTCAGAGAAACACTTTTCAAAGTGGGACAACAGGTAAAGGTTGTCTGCTAAAAAGTGTTTAGAGCATGAAGGCAGATTTCTATCTCTGTCTATTACAAAGTATTGTACAGCAGGGCTGCCCCTCCTTGCCTGTTGCATATAAATGCGTATTATTTAAAGCTGTTCAGCCAAACTCCAACTCACAGCTCAGTCTCTAGAATTTGGAATTTACTTGCTTGACTGTTTAAACACCGATATTGCAATTCCAGGCAATGTCATGGTTATTACAGAAACCCCTAAGGAGAAGTGGAGACAAGCTTTTAACCCCCGATTGCTAGAATAAACTGGGGCTGTCACCATCATTGGCTATACCACGCCACAGTGCAGGAAAATCTAAGAGAGCAGGCTCAGGAAAAGCTTTATGAAGTGCGACAAAGTGAAGATCCACCAGGGAGTTCATTTCAAATATCATCGGTTTTGCGTATGAGATCTGGAGTTAGTTACTTGTTACTCTTAGGTATGAGTACATGAACACAAGTGGCACAAACTTTCACCGAGCAAAATAGACTGTGATAGGCCTTCTAATTATTTTTAATTACTTGAGTCATTTTGATGGTTTCCTGGTTTCCCCAGTTAAACAAACATATACTCAGGCTCACTGAAACATGCTAGAAAGGCAGAGTAGTAGTACTACTTACTCTGGCCTATCTGGGCATCTTGAAATGTTGGAAATTGAGAAAGAAGTTCTAAGAAAGCAAAATTCACATAAATAAATAAGAGACAGTGCAAAGCAATGCTTGTCTGTATTAGAATCATTACTGCCTTGTGTAAAGAGAGAAACAGGGTATGTAAACATTTAAATATATCCAATCTTAATTCTCTAAAGATTTAAACTCAATATGCAAATTTCAGCTTATGAAAAAGAAATCCTCTATTTTGGACCAATTTTGATTGTTGCACTTGGCATACAGATTTATATAATCATAATTCTTTAACCAAAATGCTAGCTTTGATTTCACCACGCCGTGCTTCTGATTTCAATATGCTGGATTTAAAGTAGAGATTAATTTATTAATCCATTAGACATCAGTTCTGTGGTTCAGATAACCTCTTTTCAAACACAACTTATCATCAATACCTACCAAAATGACCTTTTCAATGTCCTTGGCTGGACACCAATGAAACATCCCTGTAGAGTCATATTTTTTCACATTGGCATCCATATTGTCAATCTGCTCGTTGCCAGGAATTAACAAGGGGTCATGCCTGGGGAAAAACAAGTTGAGGACAACATAAGTGGAAAATATTATGAATTATGGATGGAAAGATATCCCAAGAGCTGTGTACAAAGAGGGATAAAAGTAAAAAAAAATGAAATGTATTTACACTTTAACATGCTTTCACTGCGGGCACTTTTAAACAAAAGCTGAAAAGAAAAAAAAGTTAATTTTTAAATTTTGGGTGCAGTTTCAAAGATTTTCTATACTTTTTCTACACCAATAACCACTTAATTTTAAACTGGGCTTTCTGACACCACCACATCCATAAAAGTTTTTTTCTTTCCAGTCCCACCCCTCCAAAATAAATATTGGAGTTGCTATTAGCATCTGCAATGAAGTAGAAGGGATAGGAACAGAGCCCCATGCTGACTGACTGGCATAAGTATGGAAAGCCAATTACTTGCTTTTACCACATACAACTTCTGACGTGATGCTCTTCGCAGTAAAAGCTTTAACAGGCTGCACTTTAAATATTTTAGCAATTTGCCCAATCATATTTTGCTTTCCCAAACTGAAGCCTTTTAAAGATTCAACAGTATGTCATTTTAGAGCAGACTGACTAACAAATGCCCACATCTGGAATACATGATTTTAATACCAAACAACAATGTCCTTTTTCTCGGACAACTCTGCCTGTGATAACCTTCTAAGTGTTTTTGCAGCAAGATTTCAAAGGGCAAGGCTTCTCAAAGGAGAAGTAAATAAAAGACATTTTTATAAACTTGCTTTCCAGCAAGACACTTACATCTAAGCACGGATACATACAGTTCTTTAAGTTATATGCTAAAATCAAACATTAAGCTAAGTACTAAGTGACTCCAACACTCTCAGATGCTAGTGAAGATCCCTAAGTGGTTGCATTATACAACAGCATTAGAAGGACAGTGTTTACAAGGCATAGGGTAAACTGACCCTAAAATCTTAAAGTCAAGGACAGAACAGAGCTTTGTCTGGCAAAACTAGTCTTTACTTAAGGTTTTTGTCATGAATGTTTGAAATATCCCGATACAGAATTGTAACATTTCAAAGAAAATATTCGCAATTAGGAATATGGTAAGTACTCTGAGACAGGTAGCCAGATTTTAAAGCAGTTTGCCCTTTGAAGCCTGTTAAAGAAATGCCCATATTGGCTGAATGCTCAAAACTGGAAAGTTTACTGCTTTTAAAGGATATGAGCCAGCAGACTGTGGTAAGAACCTCTCTTCTGCATTGCCGACTAAAGCAGACTTTGAACACTGTGTATGATATAGGTTAATTTATCCTGAATACAGTACAATAATTTACCATGCTTAAAACAGTTATGCTCACATGCCTAAGTAGGGTATAATCTCTAATTCTGTCAGGGTGATTAATTTGCGTAATTTTATAGCCACTGATTATATATCCATTGAAATCAATGGAAAATTTGCATTCATTTCACTCAAAAAGGGTCAACTCCATAGAAAGTGGCTTAAAAGAACTTGAGAAATTATTAATACAATGTTCCATTTAAACCAGAATCTTTTCATATTTTAAGAAAAAGCAATGCACTACATGGCAAAGGCATAAGTCAGACTCATCTGGAAAAAGAAACACTGTGTTTTCCAAGTTTTTTTACATTCACTCAACAGAGATACAGTTCAGTGCATTTCACTATCAACCCACTGGCAGCAGAGGAGTCTCTAGGGGACTACCTGGAGTCTCTGACACTACTCCAGGTTTAGTACTGAAAGGCCTTGTAAGTGTGCTCCCTCTTTTGTGGGAAGCAGAGGTGACTTCTTGGTGCAAAAGCTGTACCAAAGGGTTTTGTTGTGGGTCGTTTGGTTTTGGTTTTGTTTTGGTTTGGTTTGGTTTTTTAATTTCTACAAAAATACCTAGACTCTGCATTCTCACATCCCATTAATCAGCGAGCTGCAGCCATGGTAGTTTTGGCTGAGAGCTAACTGTGATGCTGTTCATAGGGCATTCCTTGCTGCTCATAATTGCATGTAGCACAATAAGGTCTGCAAGCATGGATACAATTCCATTTGAAGGTTGTGCTAATGTTCACACAACATTTAGTGGCACTCTGTCCTAGCTATTTTTTCTGATGCAATGTGTTAGCTATGTGTTTAAAAATAAGAAATTTTGCCAAAAGGTTAGGAATCTTCAGGAGCTTCCACTGAAAAAAGTTTTTCTTTCTGTTTTGGTTTTTTCTCCCCTAAACTTTCACAGGACATTTCCCTACCAGCCTTTTGTAGCACAGCACTGAAATGAAAGCAAAGTTCACTGATCAAATCGCCTCCTTTTTCTTTCAGAAATTAGATGCATATAGGAAGGAATTTTCCTTTTCCCTTTCACTTCATCAGAGAAACTATAATAAATCAAATTGTAAAAAATGCCACATTCTAATTTTCTAATCAGTGTTTCTTTTCTGCTCTGAGATTTAAAACTAAATAGAGCATCTGAAGTTTTCACACAAATGAGTATTTAACAATACTCTAATCCCAGTCACAGAGATGTTACAAACTGAAAGGAATCTTATAACAAAGCAGGTAATAACAGATATCTGACATCAAATTATGGTCAACTGCCTTGAAGTCTGAGGCAATTTTGTGTGTGTGTGCTTAAAGCCTAGTGTAGTTCTCTTTTGCGTAAGGGCCTTGAATCCTAAAGGGGAATATTCGAAGTAGCTTGTGCCAAAGATTTATTAGAATCTTATCTCAATACTATATTTTCTAGTTATCTTAGGTTTAAACCGAAGTGTGCTACAGAAGGGGTGAAGATTATGAATCATCAGATATAACTCTCTACTGAAGTTTTAGGTAACAAATTGTGATTTTTAATTTCTTTTTTTTTTTTTTTTAAATCAATACATGCACTTATTTGCAATACGATAAACTGTTTGGATCCTCTGATTCATTGCTTGGAGTACAGCAAGTGGGAGCCTTAAAAGAAGCAAACAGGATGGGTCACACAACAAGAAAGTATGTTAATAGATACTATTGTACTACTTTTACTCTAGGAGAATGGATTATTGTCTGAGAAGGAAACCGTGATAAGACTAGCCACACTTTGTGTTTCAGAATCTGTGGCTTGTTACACATAAGTGTGTTTATTAAATTGAAATCTTCTGGGCTAAGATATTATTTTAATCTCTCATTAATCAATGATTTTTCATTCTCAGTAAAGCAATCCCTGAAAATATCTATGGAGGTTGAAAACTGTTTACTACCAAGGTCCAAATTTGTCCTCAGATGTTAGAAGATACGCTGGCTTATGCACTTAAAAACTGAATTGATCTTTGGAGGTGTTTGTTTTTTTTTTAAACCCATGGTCATTTTATGAAGTAATACAGTAATAAAATAGTATCACTACTTTGGACATATACACTCTTGTTAATCTGATGATCTAAACCTGTTTTGCAAATACTAGAAATTAATTAAGACAGACACACAGAGGCCAAGGCTGTCAAATCTGCCTAAGGGGTTTGGACACCCTCTTCCCATTAAAATTCCTATTACACAAAGCTTTACAGTTGTTGCCCTTGCAGCCAAATCATGGACTGCATGGTTCTAGAGCCTCTCTGTCCCGCTCACCCTTGAAGATGGCCCTGTCAAGCCATGCTTGAATCACATTGGCAGGTTACTGTGGAAATGCTTGTATTAGCGCTGCAGCTAGTATGTTCTCTAGGGCTGTAAAGTCATCTGCCTGAAAAATTCAAATTATGTGAAGAAAACCACCTTCTACCAATTAAAATCCATAGCGTTTGTTTTAAGTGAGATGGCTTTTATGGCTTGCAATGACCGAAGAATTTGGTCATTCCAGCTAGGAAAAGGCAGGCATGTATAGCATGCATGGGAGAAAAGGAGCAAAAGTTCATTTTCCCTTACCCATAACCCCAGTTTAAAAATAGCTTCTCTGGTTCTTATGGCAGATATTACATACGCATGACTTAAAACAAAGAGCAAAATACCATCTTTTCAAGGTTTTGAAAAGCATATAATGCCACTTATGATCAATTAAACTTGAAAATGACACTAAATGTCATGCTACAGCTGCAACCCCAAAAAGCCTGCCTGGAGGACAACAGCCTAAAGCAAAACCATAAATCCCACTTCCAGCAAACCTATTGCGAGAAAGTCAACATTACATTTTAAAGAGCGCTGTTTACTAGCACACATTTATAACTACTGCAAACTTATTTACTTGGAGTTTCCGAGTCTGGAACTTCTGAGTAATGACTGCGGATGGACAGAACTGAAAAGACCATTTGGGGCCAAATAGCTGCCTCATTAAATGACTATTGTTTAGCATATCCTTTGATTCTGTCAACTTTGTCTTAACCCTCTTGCTATCATTCATATGCAATTTTGAGCGTTAAAGCAATATACCCTCATTGCTCTGCAGTGGAACCGCTCCATACATTGAGCACTGGGAATGAGAATACTATATGACCAGTAGAGACCCTGGTATTGTTTGAAAATAAACTGTAATCTGTTAGTCTTTGCACATCAGTAAAACAATGTCTTGGCTACTTTTTATTCTGCCCTACAAAAAATTCCCCTTATATAAAATCAATGGCAAAGCACCCCTGGGAACAACACATTCGTCTTTAACCTTGTGTTTGTTAAAGTCTACAATTATGCCTTTCTCAGGTAGATATACTATATCTGGATTGTGCCCACAAAAAGATGTTTAGCAGTCTACTGTTTGAGATTCAGGGTATTGAAACTCACCTTGTGTGTGGGCCAGGAATTTTGAGTTTTCCTACCTGACTTTGGATGTGGATGTGTGTTTGCGAGTGTATGCACACACATACTTAATTTTAGGATGAAGGAGTGGGTTTGTTGAAGGTAAGATAGGAACTGAAGACACACTAGAGAATGTCTCATGCCTTTGAAATTTCTCCTACAACTACCCTAACAAATTGTGGCAATTAACATGCTGTTAGTGTTAGATGTATGCAGCCAGTACAGGTGCTAATAATTGAAAAAGCATTTAGAGCTTTTACACCCTGGCTGAATA